TTTTGGAAGCATGTCAGTAACGTCAACACGAAACGTTTGTTCCATTAACGGTACTGGGACGATTTTCGGTTGAAGCGTTTCAAGATTACATTCAAATTTCAAATCTAGCAATTTCAATTAATGCATATAAAGGTTGATGCACATACTGTGTGTTGTTCGGAAATGTGTTAGACAGAGCATCTGTTGACACAGAATCAGCCTGGTACACTAATTGTCGAAATATTCCATTTATACCATTAATAAGACCCAGTTCAATAGCAAGATTTTGTTTTAAAATAACTGGCATCCCAGGAACGAACGGCAACAAACCGGGTAAGTGTTCCGTCTTGCTGTCAGATAATTCCAATACTTTTTTCATAAGTATAAGATCTTCAATTAGTTTTTCTTTGCAGGTATCTTGAGCGACACATACCATTGGCTGGTAAACTAGTTGTGCTGCATTGTGAACTGCTGCTTTGTTGTTTAATTGTGTTCGTACTTCATTTCGAAATGCTAAAATGGGAGCCTAAATAAACATCAAAACGATGAAAAATGATTTTAAAAAGAAAAAAGAATTTACTTCGTTCCATGGTGAATCGCGAAGAGAACTGACCGATGGTTGACCAACGACGCGTGTTAACAATAATTCATAATCTTGCAAATTACAGTCACCTTGACGAAGCCGTTCGAGTAATTCACGGTATCGCTCATCGTCTGTTCCCATCTGCTGACTAAGTTTGATCACATAGTTAATTTGAAGTATCAGGGAACGTGCAGCGCGTTGTTGAATTTCTTTTTCACTAAGTAATTGACCTGATTTGGTTTTAGAGGGCTGTGAAAAGTCAGTGTACAACGGTGTATCATATACTGGTCGATACTGTAAATAATCACCAAAGAATATGACGTTTATGCCACCAAATGGAATTTGAGGATCGACATGTTTGGCAGCGGACATAATTCGATTGAGTTTTCCAAGTAGAGTTAAACCAACCATACTCATCTCATCGATTAGGAGGTATTCAACGAGTCCCCATTGTTTTTCAAGTTTGGAATCACCTGGTTTGATGGTGCGCGGCTTTCCCGAATTACGTTGTTCACCTAAAAATGAGTGGATTGTCATGCCGCCAATTTCAGCAGCAGCGATTCCTGTGGGTGCGAGTTTTCGCATCATGTGCATTCTTTTTGTAATGAGAAAGTATTTGGTGACAGCACGAATCAGTTGTGATTTACCTGTGCCGCCACATCCAGGTATGCACATTATCAGTTGACCATTGTTGGTACCTATGTATATATATATATTATTTTGATTTATTATTATACGTTTAGATCATTAAAATACCTTCATGACGTTGTTTGTCACCATCAAGATGATTGGTTATTATCATAAATGCAGCTCGTTGTTCTCTATTCAATGCATATTCAACAATAATACTTTGCTGAGTAGAATGGCTTGTGGTAGTGACTGACGCAACCGGAAGAATTGGAGTGTAATTATCAAATGTATTTATGTTATAATTATTTGAATTGACCATAGTTACAAGTGCATCCTGTATACTATCATAATCTAATGTATCATCCGTTTTGTCATAGCTGCCCGTAATCAAACTTCGTCTAACTCTTTCTTTCTCAGTCTTTAGTTGTTCTTGTCATTTTGTATTGAGTCGAACGAGTTTAGATGTTGCTGAGACGAACGGCACAATTTGTTAAAAGTGATCTCTAGAAGATTCATTTACTAACGGTTGACTATTTCCTACAAAAAAGTAGTGACGTTTATATCTACTGCATAATTAATAATAATGCTTACTCTGTGTGTTAGTAAATCGGCCAACTTTTTCTACTGCTTCTATGGTTTCTTCAATGTATATATTTTCTGTTGTCTTTTTGGTGCTATTTAATGCATTGGTAGTATATTCGTTTAAATTACCAAGCAATTCAAGCAAATCTTCATTGTCACTTGTGTCGTCATATTCATCACGCATGTTTCGACTTGTTATGACTAGGGATGTGCAGTGTCAGTGAAAATATCGGTGTCAGTGTTCACCGAATACCGAATATAAGTGCCGGCGTTCACCGAACACTGGATATCAGTGTTAATAACACTGCTAACTAAAATATTTTTGTGCTAAATCGTATAAACTATTTGACTTTTCATTTCCAACTTTAACTATCAGTAAAAGAGGTCGAAGGAAAATGCCCATTTTTTTCAACAATTTTCCTGATACGGCTATTACAAGATATTAAGTATTGCGGATTGTTGAGAAGAAATAATTACATTCATATTTAATATTAGCTTAAACATGAGATTATACGATTTTGGTTACCCCGATGCGATTCTTGCTTTTTTGTCATTAATTGATTTTTCATAGAATGCGCAGTTACTGTTGTTGTTGAGGTATACATGGAATCATCACAATGTTTAGTCTTCAACTATCGAATTGTGTATCCTTTAAACGTACTTATTTTGTATGCAGCTATGACTGGAAAATATTTCGTCTTCGAAATCAAAGTAACGTAATAACTCAAAAACATTTTAACTGGTATGCATGACATTGATAACTTTTAATTTAAATTCAAGTACTTTGATTTATTTAATATGTTACCTGTTGGATAAATCATTTTATGTTGTTTGAAAGCACTATATCCAGCGCAATAAGAGACTAAAAGTAAGAACAGTCATGTTAGCTTGATTTCAAAATTACTTCTTTCAATTGAATATGACAAAGTTTATTCACTTAGATAAAATAATACATAAAAAACATGTGTTTCTTCAAAATGACTAACTAGAATATTTTTGCGAAAACAATAAGGAAAAGTAAATGATCAAGAAAAAATGTTCTATAGTTGAAAAGGAAAAAACCCTTCACAGAAGAAACAATAAAAAAAATAGGAACTAAAAAAATATCTGTATAGTATCAGACAATCAGAATAATATAGTAAAGTAAAAAGCAATATAATATTGCAAAAAAATGAGAATAAACGATGAAATATTTTTACTAAAAGAAATCATAAAGAGAAACGTTAGAAAAAAAACAATAAGTAGATGAATAAAAACAAAAAAGCTGTTAGCGTAATCCCTTGCGGGATAAAAATGTGAAACACGATCACACAGTTAAAACAACTTACAAATAGATAGTGTAATTGTGTGTATTATAGAATAGAATTTTTCGTTCTATTATGAGAGATAAAATTATCGGATGGTAATAGAAAATTGTTGATCTATTATAAGATCAAGATATTTGTATTATGGTAATTATTATTATATTTAAATAACAATTATTTAATATAAGATAAGATTACCATTGTATCTAATATAAATAATAACTTATAGTTTTATTTTATTGTACACTTTTGAACAGATGATATATGTAGAGTGTAACGAAGTACGAAAAAGAATAAGAGAGAGATTGACTTCTATATTTTGTGGAACTCATGTAAATTTTCGAAGAAAATCGTGAGTGTAAGTTTTAAGTTCAGGTTTTCAGCTCCCCTCCCCTCCCCCCACCCCAAACTCAATAAAAATACGCAAAAATCATTAAAAATAGCTATAAATTGCTGGATTTTCTATAAAAAATAAGCAAAATGGTTAAATACAGCTATAAATTAGTAGAATTTTAATAAAAATAAGCAAAAATAGTTAAAAATAGTCGTAAATTACTGCAAATCTAATAAAAAGAACCAAAAATTGTCAAAAATAGCTATAAATTAATTAAATTTGAGCAAAAAAAGAAAACAAAACACTTAAACGTGATCATATATTTTGCTGCGAACATACGTGAGTTCCACATTTTTAGCCCCAACGGGGCTGCGCTGATAAGCTTTTTCATTTGAAGTCTTAATATGATTCTTTTATATGGAAATATATATGTTAATTTTATTGAAGATTTATTTATGACAGAGGTTTTAAATGAGAATATTACGCAAATAAGTCCAATGTAGTTCTGAAATATATGTTCATAAGAATAGAAATTAATTCATGGTAATAGTCGGAAGTTATAAGAATAAATATTATTTATTTTATTATTTAAGTTAAAAAAAAAGTTTCAATCTATTTTATTTAAAAATCTTTTTAATAATATTTTATTTGATTAGTTATTATTATTATTTGTCACGATATTAGTTATATGTTTATTTATTGGATTAAAATTAACGACAACAGTTATCGATGATAAGACAAGTAAGACACTTTCTTGTTTAACTAAATCTTGTGTAGAAAGTTCATCATGATTACATTCTTGTAACAACGATGTAATTTTTGGTGTATCAACTATGAGTTCAAATATATTTTGTTTAACATCAGTAATAGTCAGTTGTATTTGATTTTGATTCGATTGTTTTAAATACAACGATCGTGATTTACATGTGTTGCATCTAATTGTTTTATAATTTCGCTCAATATCAGTAGAATAACATTTTGGACAGCTAAAAGTCTCGTCAACTAATCCAATTGATGTAATTATTCCTATTATCGTTGATTCATAACAGAGCTGAACAGAATCAGAACAACTTATATCACTAATATTTTCTATTGATTCAAATCTATAAATTTGAATAGATGGTTTATCTCAGCAGTAGATATTTATATATTATATATATGAAAAAGTTAAGAAAGTTTTTGTACAATATTCTTTAAGAGAGTTTTTTAAAAAGTAAGAAAAAAATGCTCACGTTGTATGTATTGTTGTTGTTATTGAAACATCATTATTGAATATTTTAATTTTCGCTAATTTAATTTTATACGAAAAATTTTTTTCTATTAAATCAAATTGATTTTCCTAAAGATTCATATTTATTGAATCTGTTTTATCAGCAATAGTGGTCGTTCTCTTCAGTTTTTGAACTTTCTTTGGTCCGCTGTTGAATAAAATAGTATCATTTTCAAGAAAGTAGAATTATTTTAATATAAAAGTATTTTAAACATGCTTACAGGACCAATATCGATTATTTTGCACATGTAGGATACATATTGACCATCAGACATGGATTGAATATCATTAATTGTACTAATTTGAGTACATGTAGGTGTGAATGTGACGACTTTTGGTGCAGCTATTGTTTCATTACTTGCAGTATACATATTATCGCCACTAAATTTAAGTTTATTTAATTTAATGCCATTTTGATTATTTAAATATTCAATAATTTTTGGATGAAGTGAACAATTAGTTTTCGACGACAAGTATTTTGCAATGCGATTTAAATTTTGATTTGAATCGCATACTAATGCTGTCCAATATTTTCCGTGTTTGGTAATTTGGCTATCCAAAATAGCTGTTACTGCTACAACAATACCTTCAAGAGATAAATTTGCTTTAATATTTGCATTATTTGAATTTGTTATGGTGGTGATCGTTCTTTTCATGTATAAATATAATGATTTGGATGATAAAATAAAAGAATTGAAAAATGTGAAATGAAATTAAAATAAAATGTAATAAAATAAATAGCGCGATAATTTATTAATTTTCGTATCAAATACAATATTTTGCTTAAATATTTTTTATTTAAAATATATTTTAACTTCATTACATTTATGTTGACCCTTTCAAAGGATATGTTGAACATAAATGATATTAAAGAACGTCTTATTGATAAATACGAACATAATGTCCGTCTGATTAGTCAAATAGATCGTTCTTTTGAACGTGCGCTTTCTATTTGCTTGTTCAATAGTAAAGAAGAAGTTGATTCAATCTCTTACACATTATATAGTCAACATGATTGGTGAGTGAAGCATATATATCTAATTAGATAACGTTACACTAAATGAAATTCTGTAGGTTATTTAACGATGAATCTAGTCAACATATCTCTTACATTATGGCAGCAGTTAAAATATATGGAATTACTATCTATATACATGATAACAATTCTGAAAATATTTATCAAATAGAAGAAGATTGTCCAATTGTACATTTAATCAAAACCAAATTAGAAGATGACTCATATATATATTTAGCTACTGAAAAAAAGATGATATAAAAAAAGTGAGTTATAATGAGATTTTACATTAATAAACATCTACTTTTGTTTCATATTGAGAACAAATATGAACTTGTTAGTTGTTGTAATCTCTTTCAGTCTACAGAAGAAGAAGATGAAAAATATGAAGAAGATGTTAGTTTAAAAGTCAATTATATTCCAAAATTCAAAACTATATGTTCATTAAATGTTACAACTAGAGAAATAGAATCTGATGGAAACTGTTATTTTAGAGCATTAAATGATCAGATATCTGGTTCCCAGGAAGGATATATTATTTTACGAATACTTATTCTTCATTTTATATCGGATAATCGTTAAGTTTTTGAATCATGTATTGATCATGAATATTTTTCATCATGGGAAGATTTTATTTATAAAATGCGTCAAGGTGGTACATTTGCTGATGCAATCGTAGTTGTTGCATCAGCTATGTTATTACGTAGACAAATTATCATTCATCAACATGAACAACGTCCAGTATTATTTAAACCTTTATTTTCTATTTCAACTAGCAATCAAATACATCTCGTTTATGACTCTAAAAATCTTCACTATAGTAGTTTATTGTCAACTGATGGCCATAAACTATTTATTGACGAATTCGAATGTATTTGTGCGTAAATCTTATTGGATAAATAAATTTAAATCTTATCAAATAAATAAATAAAATAATTTAAAGTAATATTTTTATTCATTTTAGTTACTATTAAATGACAATCTATGTTAATGTATATTCTATTTTTTTACGGATTTATTTAGAATTAATATAATTTATAATATTCACAAAACTTTTTTTGTATCGAAAATGAGTCACAGTTATCACCAAATTGTTGGGTTCGAAATCGATATGTTCGTTCTGATGGAATTTGTTTGCAATCTTTAACGATTGTGTTAAAAAATGCATCGACATCGAAATCTTTCGGACATAGAATGTTAAAGCCTCGTTGTTGTTATTTATGAAAGCGTATAGCTCTTTAACGAATTTAGATGGCGAAATTGGAATATCATAGCATGTTGTGTGTCCGAAATTTAATGCTCGTAAACAACTAAATGAAATAATTAATTCATTAGAATTGAATGCTGCAGCACATATATCAAGATCGAAGGAATAAAGGATTCGTGAGATGGTGATAGGTGTGATAGTTGGACGAATAAGTTGTATAATAACTGATGGAGTGAAATGATGACCGTTGAAAATATCTTGAATAGTAAATTTTCGAAATAAATCAAACTGAACTAATCTATCCACCCATATTGTTTTACGTTGAATAAAATATGTATTCTGTAATCGCAACTCTAGTTCGTTCTACGAAAGAAAAAAAGATGAACAATTTGATATATTATTACACAATCACTCGTGAAAATATTCTTAAAATAAAAATAAATTAGCTTTAATATAAATTGTCTTATTTAAACAAAAGTTTGCATACGAAAAAGCAGATTTTTTTCTTGCTACAGCGTTTTTAAATAGTTGTGGATTTTCTTTGAGAAAAAATAAATCATTACCAGAACCATTTCTTGTCGAATGATGAACTAGCAACGAGGAAACGACGGAACCACCAGCAATAATAAATAAATTCCAATCAACATATTGACCCCATACGTTATATTCATCTTGATATGTAAAATTTTGTATAAAATGATTGAGATTGTTAACAATTTCGGGTATTTTCTGATTGTTTCCAAATATTTTAAATAAAGTACATTCATCAACGGATAGTGGACGTGGTTGAAGAAGATCTAGATGATATATAGCGTTGAAACTTTATAATGATTTGATATCTCTATTTTTTGAAATTCTTAATAATTTATGTTATTCGATAAGCTTTTATTTATTTTGGTCTATTTCTAATGAAGAGTTAATTTGTTTCTCTCAAACGTTTATTCTTATTATCTATTTACGAGAATTTAAGAAGCTCCATTGTACTTTTAATACTTTTTTTAATAATTTTCCAAATGATGTTATAGAAATATGATGAAAAATGACAAAGGGTTAAATTATTTCTGATCAATTAACTCTAATATAAATACTACATGAATTCTCACAGTTTAAAAATCAATAAAAAATCTTTGAAAAGAAAAAAAAAGTAATCGTCATACATGAGCAGTTAAAGATGTTAAGAGTGGGATAAGATGATTCATAATAGAATGGATTAAATGACCATAACCGACAGTATAAAGAAAACATAGTTGTAGAATAATATTTTAAAGATTTTTCTATCACGTCCAATTTAAAAGCTCCATAAACAAAATTATTCCATTTATACGATGATAAGAAGATGCTGATACCATCTTCATGAATGATGTAAGATGAATTTGGCATTGTAAGTAAGACATTTGTTTCGTTCGTAAATAAAATCTTGGTTTGAGAACGAAGCAATTGCAATAAACGATGATTAATTATGTAAAGATAATTTTTATACATTAATGTAAAATTACAAAGATCGATTCCTGTTAATCCATCACTAATTCTATCAATCGGTTCTTTTGGTAGTTCATACAAATATGATGTAGTCATACTAATGTTTAAAAATAATTAAAAGGAAAAATTACAAAAATAATTGCAATATATTTGAATTTTGTTGAGCGCTCGAATAAATTGAGAAAACTAAATTAATAAACTGTTTATAGATTTTTTTATTCAGTAAGTCTAATTAATAGTCTTTATAATCAAATTGTCTTCAGATATATATCATGTCGATTTGAAATAACTTTAGATGTTCGTTACAATTAAGATGCATGCTTGTTTTAAATAGAATTATTATAAAAATTTTGATCCTCACATTTATTCCTCTTGATATTATGAGTTTCTATACAATGCTATATATTAGAATAGTTTGGAGTCTATCGTGATGATGATAAAGATTTTTATTTATCAGATTTAGTATTAAAAATAGTTTCATACAGAATATTAAATTTAATTTCTATACGAGATAGTTTATATACAAAGAAAATAAATCTGATATTTTTTTTTATAGAAAATTAATATGTCTATTTTAGGCTTCATTCACTTAGCTATCATATAGTGGTGCTTCAAAAGCATGTCTTTTATTTACCTTATGGAGTAACAAAGATAATTTACGATTTTGTTTTGTAGTCAGAATAGAAATAATCTCAATAGTGACAAATATTGAATTACGGTTCACTCCGTTCGATATATTTATGATCATATATATATCAGCTTAATTGTTATGCTTGCTATAATATTTTTAATTATTATTATTATCGATAAAGTATTTCATAGAGTTCCAATCATTCTATTTGCTAATAATTTATGTTTATCTGAATTTCTATTTGGAAATAATCTATTGAGTTTGATTATATTTACATTGAGAAATGATGTTAATCAAATTGATCATGAAGTTGTCTTTTGTATCTTTCGAGGTTATCTAAATTACGTTGGATATAATTTAAAAAATTATTGTTTGTCATTACAACCAATGTATCGATATATAATAATTATTCATTCGACCGAATTTATTTTATCAACTATGTGTACCAAGCTTTGATTGTATAAAGAAGTGTTTTTTTCTACACAAAGAATATGTGTTTCCATCGAGTTGTAAATTGTTTTATACTGTGAGTTTATTTTTGTAGAAGATCTTCCAAAATTGTTTTACTGTGCAATTGATAAATAAGTTTGTGATGAAAGGACTTCAAGAATTCTTTTGCACTTTCATCAACGGAACTCTTTTTTTTCGAGGATAAAGAAGTCGTCACACGTCTATTTAAAATTTGAATGACTGGATGTGAGTATATTTTCTTTTGTTATGTTCCATCTACTCATTCTAATTTTTATATCTATGTTGTATTGGATCGAGTATCAAAAGATGCATAGCTAAATCTTAATCCATGAAAATAAATTATAAATTTTATATAGTATTAGTTATAGATAAAACACAAGCAAGGATATCTACGTTACTTGTTAATCATACGGTAGAATTATTGATTCAATAATGCTGTTATAATAAATTTGTTTTAATTTATAAAAATATAAAGAAAAAAGAAACGAATTTATATACTATTTATTTTAAAATACTCAACTTTTTTAATTAATATAATGTTGATGAGTAGCAGCAGGAATACCAGTTATAGGTTAAAAAATAATGATTACCTTTTGAAATAAATCAATTTCACATTCAACATTGATACGTCCTGTATATAGAGTACGATAAAGTTTAATATCTTGTCAATAAATTGCATAACAATAATTATTATAAGCAATAGTTTGATAATCTCTATTCAAACTATTCATTGGAGTGTTAAAAAACGGTTAAGTAAATATTTTATTACTAATTATAATATATAATAAACAATAGATTTATATCGGGATGAATCTATGAAAATGAGAAAGAAATGTTGTGAGTATCTATACTATATGATAATACACCTGTATAATAATAATATAAATTATTGTTCAAAGAGAATAGCGATATGAGTGTCATAATGTACGTAATCAATGATAAAAATAAATGTTCTAAAGTGTGACTGAGTCAAACAAGAATATTCGTAAATATACTGTAAACTGTTTTATGTTAATTACATTTATTATAATAATTCGTTTTGATAATTCTTATGTGATTTTAATTGCAAATCTATTAGAACTTCATTATTATTACCTTGAAAGTGATTCGACTTTCTCAGAAAATAGTTTGAACATATTTGGAATCATTTTCAACATTTTGTTTCATACAACTAACTGTTTCATGATTGATTTTTATTTTGAATTATTTAAATAGTTATATAAGGCTTAGACAATAATAAACAACTTTAGTCAATAGAAGAGAATCATATAAGTTTATGTGAATATTGATTATGAAGTTGTGGAAGAAACTGCATGTTGTATAATTTCATTTGAAAATATTCAGTCATAATTCTGTGATTTATTATTAGTACAATGCAAGTGGTCAATGTTATAACTGGACCAATTTTTCGCGTTTTATTTTTGATGATTGCTTATTTATTTTTTATTAGAATAGTTTTATAGAAGAAATTAAAATAATTTCATAAAATTAAATTAAATATTTGTATCAAAAATTTGATCATTTACGAAATTTTTAAAATTTGATTCTATTATATTTTTGGAAGCCAACTTTTAATGTGTTCAATTTTTACATATGATAAAACTGAAAAATAATTTCTTTTGTTTATATAAACACTTATTGAAAAATCTTAAATCATGTTTGAATATACGAATAAATTTTTTTTCACTTCACTTTTAATTTATTTTTTCTCTTTTAAAATAAAAAAATAAAGAAGACAATATTGTTATTTTAATGGTAATCTGAGTACTGAAGTTGTCATTATTATACAAAAAAATCGAATGGCATCATAAAATTCTCAAAGGTTTAAAAAGAACAGTAAACTGAATAGAAATTTTAAGAATCGATAAAAATATTAGCTTTATCTCACGTTTTTTCACTCTCAAGGTGTTACCTTTATCTTACGCACATAAAACGAATATTTGTTACGTAGTACATCATATTATTTTCAGTATATATAATTTATTTTTCTAAAAGAAAGTTTTATTATAATAAAATGATTGCAATTATTTTATTTTTATTCAATCAGATAAAAGATTGATGTACCAAATTTTGTCAACTGAATTAAATTAAAGCAAT